AGTTCCTGGCTGTCTTGGTGATGTTGTCGTATTCTAGCAATTCGAGTAGCCTATAAAGTTGCAGGGCTTTGAATCCGTTTACTCGTTTTGCGTCGCGGCTGACAGGAGAGAGATAGAGAGAGAGATCTGGAACGGATCTCATTGACAGGTGATGATGCAGAGCTTCCACCTCCATTAGAGAAGTGGCCCGGCTAAACATTGCCGGTTTTGAGGATACACAGAGGGTTGGCTGCAGTGGTGCCTCGACTGTTTCAAACGAACCCCTCACACCTCAGTTGGACTGGATCGTTCACGACATCATAGGCAGCGCTTCATGCTGTTGGCATGGCATGTCCTGGCACTTTGGGCAAGATCACGCATTTGGATGGTATACTGCGGTGTATAAGTTCGACCAGTTCGAGAGGGCACAGTTTCTGCAAAGAAGCAGAGAAAGTCTGGGGTTGAACAGCTCTTCATTTGTTAGCGAACATGTTTCCCGTCGCTGATGTGCCAAATACACGCCCGCCATTTTCCCTACACTTCGTCAAGACACTTTTCAGTTTCCGAGCTTAGTTTAGAGATACCACCAACGCCTGAACAGTTCTCTCTACGCCATCGAGTTTTCCCTGTCACTTCTCTGAACTGAGAAATTTGTCTGCTTGATCTCTCCTTCCTGCTTAGACCTTTCCCCACATCGTTCTGCATGTTTTTTTCAAGTTTGCACATTATATGCCAGTTTCCTTCGATTTGCATTTCTGGGCAATAGAAATAGAGTGGACACTACAGCGGCACTGATAGCACCAGCCTCGGCCGTCGGCACGGCTCTCAAAAGTCCCTTGGAATGGATCAGGAACATGCTAGCAGTTCCTGGGAATGGTAGCTATAAGTTTATAGGGTTGGGTTTAGGCTATGCACCCTATCAGTCTCAGCTCAGTTGTCAGTTTTGCGAAGTGGCCATCTGAGGCGACATTTTGCTCGCAGTGTACAGGCTGAGCGCTCAGTGGAGAACACAGCAGGATCTCCGTCACCTTCCGCTGCTGCTAGTGGTGCTACTGACTACTACCGTGCTAGCTAACCAGCCTGGCTAGCTGAACACAGTTCAATCTGACAGATCCGATCGACCACGCCTCCACCCTGTTGTCCCAGATCCAGCCGCGAATCCTAAACTCGGATAGCAAAGGCTATGGACCTTCTGCTGCAAGCCCTGAGCTCGAGCCCCACCAGGTCAAGCAGGGATTCGGCCAAGCTTCGGCACGAGGGTTCAGGGCTTCGGGCTCTTCAGCTGTCAGTTCATGGCTTCGATTTTGCGTTTAGTGCTGTTGGGGTTGAGGCCCCTCCGAATTTATGATGTGGGACCCAGACGTGGCTGTGGTCGAGCGTTCTGCGGCCATGGAATGATGCTGGACTTGATAATGCTCGTGGACATGCTTCTCTTTGGTCCCGGAAACCGCCCAAATTCTACGCTTCAGCGTGGCCTGAGGATGTAAACCAGGGTACAGGGCTAAGGAGACCAGTAGGAGGCCTGATCTTTTCAGCCCTGGGTCGCCCATGGCTGAGGTTCGCATGGCACCCTGACCTCCGCTCTGGCCCATGGCCCAGCTTCGGACAAGACTGCTTTGCCCGAGTGGACGAAGAAAGGTAAAGACATAGCCCGCACCCAGATGACTTGCATTCACGATCGGTATGTTTCAGCGGCACTGGAGCATGCAATAGCAAGTGCAGCAAGTATCGCAACAGCAGTCGTGCCTGCAAGGCTTGGATAGGTCGCCACCACCACCATCATCACCGGCAATATTACTATTACATACCCTCGATTTATCCAGGGTCCGGAAGGGTGGCCCTGGGTACCCTTGGGAACAGGGTCCGAAAGGGTCGCCCGACCCATTCGGACCCTACCTCAGATATTAGAAAAGCAAGCCAGTTAAAACCAGATTTAACTTGCCTGCGGTAGTCCTGCGGTATCACCGCACCGAAAGAATGCCTTTTGGGGGGTGGCTGACGGGGGGGGGCACTAGGCATTGAAATACCTTGTAGACCCCCGGAGTGCCTTGTATGGGGGTCATAGAATATGAGAGAATAGGTGTGCTGGCGAGTGGTACAAAACATTTACCCTGAAAACCTAAACCCTGAAACCTATACACCAAAATCCAGAGACATCCAAAAACCTCAAAATCCAGAATCCTTGGAAGAGCCCCTGAACCCACAAACCCCTAAACCCAGAAATTCTTAACCCTTATGTCGCTTATGTCCCGCAGTAACCCAAAACCCCAAGCGCAGAAACCCTAAACCCAGAAAGCCCTTGAACCCAGATACCCACCAAGCCCCCAAACGCAGAAGCATTGTACCCAAGCGCCTGAACTCAGAAACTGAAAACCCAAAACCACTGAACAGAGGAACCGCTGAACCCAGAAACCCTAAACCCAGAATCCCAGAAACCCTGAGCCCATATCCCAGAAACCTTAAACCCAGATCCCAGAAACCCTGAGCCCATAGCCCAGAAACCCTGGCATGAACAGCCTGGCTTCAAGTGAAATCGGCTTGAAGTTGATCCTGTATGTTCGTCCTTAATCGCTACAGACCTCGCCAGGCTTGCCCGAGTGTGAGTGTCAAAACCCAGAAACCCAAAACCTTGTACTCCAAACCCTTGAACTCAGAAGCTAACAACCCAGAACACCTAAACCCAGAAGTTCTGAACCCCCAAATCTGCGAGTAAGCCCAGAAACCCTGCACGCAGAAACCCTAAACCCAGAAAACTCCTGAAGCCAGAAATGCAGAACCCAGAAACCGCAAACCCCGGAAGCCGCAGACATCATAACCTGAAACCCAAAATCACCGAACCGAGAACCGCTGAACCCAGAAACCGCAAACACCCAAACACAGAAACCCTGTAGAACCCAGAATCCCTAAGCCCTTAAACCAAAACCTTAAACCCCTGGACGCTGCACCGAAGCACAATAGCGGCTTGAAGCAAGTCACATGTCGTGCTCGAATCGAGTGGCCGACATGCCGACGCCACAGGGGCGACGCCGGGCGTCGCAACAGGAATCCACCGAGCGGCGCCCGGCGTCACCCCGCTCCCACAGGTGTGGGCGACGCCGGGCGCCGCTCGGTGGATTCCTGTTGCGACGCCCGGCGTCGCCCCTGTGGCGTCGGCATGTCGGCCACTCGATTCGAGCACGACATGTGACTTGCTTCAAGCCGCTATTGTGCTTCGGTGCAGCGTCCAGGGGTTTAAGGTTTTGGTTTAAGGGCTTAGGGATTCTGGGTTCTACAGGGTTTCTGTGTTTGGGTGTTTGCGGTTTCTGGGTTCAGCGGTTCTCGGTTCGGTGATTTTGGGTTTCAGGTTATGATGTCTGCGGCTTCCGGGGTTTGCGGTTTCTGGGTTCTGCATTTCTGGCTTCAGGAGTTTTCTGGGTTTAGGGTTTCTGCGTGCAGGGTTTCTGGGCTTACTCGCAGATTTGGGGGTTCAGAACTTCTGGGTTTAGGTGTTCTTGGTTGTTAGCTTCTGAGTTCAAGGGTTTGGAGCACAAGGTTTTGGGTTTCTGGGTTTAGGGTTTCTGGGCTATGGGCTCAGGGTTTCTGGGATTCTGGGTTTAGGGTTTCTGGGATATGGGCTCAGGGTTTCTGGGATTCTGGGTGTAGGGTTTCTGCGTTCACCGGTTCCTCTGTTCAGTGGTTTTGGGTTTTCAGTTTCTGAGTTCAGGCGCTTGTGTACAATGCTTCTGCGTTTGGGGGCTTGGTGGGTATCTGGGTTCAAGGGCTTTCTGGGTTTAGGGTTTCTGCGTTTGGGGTTTTGGGTTACTGCGGGACATAAGCGACATAAGGGTTAATAATTTCTGGGTTTCGGGGTTTATGGGTTCAGGGGCTCTTCCAAGGATTCTGGATTTTGAGTTTCTGGATGCTTTTGCGCAGGCCCCGCGAACTTAGGTAGGAACCCGAGCAAACAACCACGGCCTGGGAAGCTTGAGTGTGCGCCTTGTCCCGAGGCCCGCTGCCTGCTACTTCTGTGAACTTCTGCGTGGGTGCTGGAAAAATATATGCGGAAACCATGCTGAATATCATGAAAACTATGTTGAGCCATACCCAAATTCAAGCCGAGCCCGACGCAGACTCAATGACTACCAGCAGGGTCCGAATGGGTGGGTCCGAAAGGGTCCGGCCAGATCTACGGGAGACCCTGGGAACCACCCTTTCGGACCCACCAAACAGGGTCCGAAAGGGTGTCCCCCGGCCGACCCTGCGTATCTCGATCCTATACTATTACTATCATCATCATCATCATCATCACTGGTACTATCAGTATGGCCATCATGATTCTTATGGCAATGGGTCGAGAAGTAAGATGTCGACCGTAGCATTTGCAAGACGGTCCGCACCTTGCCATGAGACTACACAGAGCCAGCCAGCGCACCAGAAGGAGTCGTATCGTTTTTGTCATTGCCATCGCTTGGAACTGGTTGCCGTCTGGTTGGCGCCCATAATAGGAGGCATAGGTGAGAGGCAGAGGAGGAGGAGGAGGAAGATAGATGCAGGATCAGGAACAGCACACCGCTCCAGTCCCAGGCGCACCGTGCCCAGGGTGACCTCCAGAACTCCGCCCTCCACGCAGTGGCGCGTTGGGACCACCTCGGTGCCTGGCTCTGGCAGGCTTAATGCCCGCACAGTGATCCACGAATCCTTGCAGGAGGAGGTGGGTTGATGGATTGCATGAAGTGACAATGAAGTGCCTCTGTCCTCCGTTAAATTTTCTACGGTACCACGTCAGAAACTGAAGCTTTCAGTGGAAATCGCTCAACAGCACTTGTCTAGGAGTAGGCTCTTTGCAGATCACCGCCAGTTTCGTTATGGGTCCTCGTTCACCTATCGGTAAAGAGTGCAGCTACTTGGACGTGTCGACCTGCAGACCATTAGCGCCACCTCTCAGCAGGGTTTGCGTCCAGGGGTTTGCAGATGAAAGCTTGGACGATTGCACGCAGCGTTGTTGGCTTCATTCTTGTCGCCCGATCCACGTGGAGACCGGAATGGACGCCGCCGGCGTCGAGGCAAGTGGGAACTTGAACCTTGAGATCTATCTTGAGTTTACCAAGGAGCTGCCACATGTGGCGGTGGAAATCAGGGTGTTCTGAGTGTTTGGCTGCAGTTTGAGCCCTCCGACTTGTACCAGCCACGTCAACACTCCGAGACTGTCCATTGTTAGCCAGAAAACAGTTGCTGCCAGCACTCCTCCCAAACTCGTCTTCGTCATTCATTGGGCTTTCTACAGACGGAAGATTACCTGTGCCACGTCGTATGCATATGGCCGGCGCGGGATTCAAGACGCGCCTTCGTAAGATCAGGTGGTAAGGCTGGAATCTGTAGGTCCCGCGCCCGGCAGAAGTGTGTTTGGTAAGTCTTCAGTGCCGTGTCATTGGTCAGTGGTTAGACATACTAAATTTATTAAATAGTCAGCATCGCAACATATAACACATCATCACTAGTATGTTGACGGAGCGCAGCAGCGTCGTGAGAAATGTGGATGTATTCATGCCGACATGTAGCTCGACCTCATGGGGAAATTATCAAGCGAGACGTCTATCGGTGTGAAACGGCTGTCGGAGAAATGTGACAATTACCCAGGGGCATCTGAAACATTCGACCATATCTAAGAGCCGAACACTAGACAATTTAGCAGGTTTGTAACAAAGAGCAGTAGGCAGGCGTTCTCCAAACAAAACCTGTGCGCAGTCTGTAAGGACCCCCGAGTAAGGTTGGAAACACAAGGAAATCTGGACTTGGTAGACACCCACACAGAAACAGGGGGCGTCTTGAATCGCCCGCCGGCATACATACATACATACATACATACATACATATATATATATATATATATATATAGATAACCTAGCATTACATACATAAAGGACTGTATATGTATATATATATATATATATATATATATATATATGTATGTATGTATGAATCTATGTATATGTATATGTACGTATCTATGTATATATATATATATATGTATATGTATATGTATATGTATATGTATATATATATATGAATATACATATATATATATATATATATATATATATATCCATATCTATATCTATATCTATACCTATATCTATATCTATATCTATATATATATATATATATATATATATATTATGAAGTAACACAAGCGTTTCCAGGCCGGGCCTCCGGCCGCTGCGCCGGCGGCACCGCCTGCACGACCGCGTCGGCGGCGTGACCTGTCAGCTGAAGCTCGTAGGAATAATAGGATTCATATTAAGGAATCCCTACCCCAAGAATCTTAAACCCCCCTTTTGGGCTCCCATCAGAAGCTTGAAGAACTTGATACCCCAAACACCTATAACCCCTACTGTAAGCCCTAAACCCTTAACCGATGATCCAGTTGGGTTTGTTCTAGGGATTCTAGGGCTCTACGTGTCTATGGTGTAACCCAGAGATTTCAGTGTGGGGGAGTCTGTAGTTTGTTGTACATTTTGTGAGTAGCATCCGCGGAGGGATTGCGCGCGCGTATCCCACAAGATTGTGGAGGGTTCAAGAAGTTCAAGAAAGTTCCGTACCCTGGAAAGACAGCTTGAATCGGAGGGATGCCCCACAAATGTGTTCATGCTTCTGACTCTGAGGGTTCGTATACATGCTGCGACAGCTTGGGCCGGTAGCCCGAAGATGCGCTGTCAGTCGCTGTTTTGCTTGAAAAAGATGCAACAAGACAGAGAAGCACGAAGCCCCCTCCTGCAGATTCTTACGTCCCTGAGCACTCCGTACTCCAGCCTGCATTGAAACCTTGAGCCCACAACCTGAGGCCCACACTCAATCCTCCAATCTGGGAGCTCCAGAAGAAGAAGTTTTCGCTCCAAAGTTAAATCATACGATCGGCTATGAAGCCTAGACCCCAAATAACTGTGGCATCTAAGTTCTTATGCCGTATGAGAATTTCGGATGTCATCACAGCCCCGATCCGAATCTCGCAATTGCCAGTCTTGTCTTGTGGTGCCTTGTCCACCGTACGCACAACAATAGCCACACGACTTAGAAGAATACACATATAAGTATAAGACAGAGCGGTCACTGCAGTGTCGGAAAGTCGGAATGGAGCGGCAGCGACAACGACCAGAAAGGCCAACAAGTGGCACAGTTGCGACAGCAGCCGTACAATACCGCGCAGTCCGTCACCTTTTCCAATGACGGCGACGCCTGCAAGAACAATAAGATGGGAGCCCACGGACACGAAGAAGCGACGGCGAAATCCGAGGTTGGTGGTTCCTAGCCGTGGTCTTCGTAGTTCCTTGGATGGCATATGATTTGAGGGCTTAGATCTACGGACATATACGTAGTATTTGGGGGTAACGTTCTTGAGCGAGGGCTTCAGGGATTGATGTCGCCGACAGACCAGCCCGTGGCCGAGAAGCTCACTTAATTTGCTGCATCTCTTCCTGCGTTTGAAGGACATGGCGGGTTCTGACACAATTAGGGTTGCCCTACCTAGCGGTCCTTCGAATGGTCATCCCCATGTTGAGGGTCGTGTATAGTAGGGTCTAGTAGGGTGCCATAGGGTGCCCTGTTTTCACTTCACATTTTTCGGAGCTGACATCATGCGCAAGCTGTATCTCCATCGAGGTGTGATGCCGGAGCCAAATCGGCCATTTGCATTAATTCCAGGCCCGAAACGCTCGACACACCAAGCTAACCCCATCTAAACGCTAAGCCCAAATCTACGTGTCCATGAAGGTTCATACTTGCACGGATTAGAAAGACAACTCTATACAAAACAACGATATCCGATACCCATGATGAGCCTTCAATTGGCAAGTGCGGACCCAGGTCTTCTTCATCATACTCCTCTCTCCGTTGCATAGACGATGCGTCTACTTGCTTCTTGGAGGAACCCCTCAAATGCTTTCGGGTGGGATCGGGCTCCTTGCAGCACCCCATAAGCCCGGAAACTTAAATTAAACCAGGTTAGATCCCTAACCCCCCCTGCTTTCCCAAACACCACTATGTATATATCTAAATATCGACCTGTCTATATAGCAACACTATACATACATGTATATGTATATATACATATAATGTATACAATATACTATATGTTGATATTCAAACACACATACATAATGTGCGTATGTGTACGATATATATATATATATATATATATATATATATATATATACATACATATATATATATATATATACATATGTTCATATAGCCCCCCCAGACGCCCTTCCCAGGTTTGTGGCTTGGCTGCCCGCCGTGCCTGCATATGCCTTGGGCTGCTACGGGCCGGTGCTCTACCATGATTATTTGTTTTTTTTAAATTTGTTTTTAAAGGTGAAGCCCTTAACAGCGGAGTAGTTCTTTGGTGCAAGCCCCGTGGGGTGCCCAAACCGTTATGATAGTTGCTTTACAGGCAAATGTTGTAGAGGGTCTATGGGGGTCTTGGCGTTTAGCAAATATCAGGGTCTACGGCTTCTAAGAGTCTTGTTTGAGATCTATCTTCGTAAAGGCTTCAGGTATGTATCCATGTATGCATGCATATGTGCATATGCATGTTTGGTCTGGGGAGGGTTCGAACCTCGGGTTCATCTTTCCACAAGCGTATGTCTCTCTGTTTGGGCTGTTAACATGGGAGTTTCCGAAAATTAGGGGTACCCTATTTTGGGGTTCTTATAGTATGGATCCTACTATTTAGGGTACTATATTAGGATCCCCCATTTTCGGAAACTCCCACATAAGCTGCTGCAGTCTGGAGGTCGTTGGCGCCTTTAAGAGGTCTGGGCCAGTCTTCATCAAGCTTGCGCAGCTGCTTGCCTTGAGAATCGGCCCTTCGCCGACTTGTATTATGTGCACCAGAATGGATAAGGAGAGCCAGAATGGATAAGGAGAGATGGTCTCATGCAGAGCTTGCCGATCATGCGTGTGCTCTTCTCTGCCAGAATGAGTGAGTGGGTGGTGTGTGTGTGTGTGTGTGCGTGTGTTTGTTATTGCCGCTCTTGGCAACCGCATACGCATCAGTACGAGTCGATGTTGTCAGTACTCTTATGCGGCAGTGTCGACGTAGTAGAAGCAATAATAACAGTAGTAGTCCAGACATGAAATCAACCATGAACGGCACCAAAGTCTCAAGTTATGGTTCAAGCTGAACGCTTTCTGGAAATCTGTCAACTGCCCTAAGCATTGGAAACTACACGAGTATGATGCTATCACGAAGAACAAGTTGCCGTATGGGCTTGAAACTGTACATCTGAAACAGGCCATGGAGAAAAAAAGTTAACCCATTTCATGCGAGGCTTACCGAAGATTTAGGAACCATACCACTTATGTAAACAAAGCAAATACGAATGCAAGAGTCATTGAGCGAGCTGATGCAGAACAAGGTGAAACCCTTTTTCAGAAATGTTCGTAGAACAATGCGCGAAGCTGGCTGGACATACTCCCCACCAAGAACCTTTACGCTAAGTACGTTACCAGCCAGATTCGGGACAGATGTTCCACAAGGAGACCTATGCAAATTTGGTTGCTCTACAGGAACAAGTTCGGCAGGCATGCGTACGCAAACAGGAAAATCAGTACATAAAAGAGAACGAAGTCAAACACCGCCCACGGTCTCGCCATCGTGCCAAGAGAGGTAGGAGACTATGGCAATCAAACAGGGAATAGTAGTAGTAGTAGCAGTAGTAGTAGCAGTAGTAGTAGTAAGAGTAGTACGAGCAGTGGTAGTCGTCGTAGTAGTAGCAGCAGTAGCAGTAGCAGTTGGCAGAGGCAGTAGCAGTGGTAGTAGTCGTAGTAGTAGTAGTAGAAGTAGTGGTAGTAGTAGTAGTAGTAGTAGTAGTCGTAGAAGTAGTGGTAGTCGTAGTAAGAGTAGTGTGGTAGTAGTAGTAGTAGTAGTAGTAGTAGTAGTAGTAGTAGTAGTAGTAGTAGTAGTAGTAGTAGTATAGAAGTAGTAGTAGTAGTAGTAGTAGTAGAAGCAGTAGGTAGTTGCATTAGGCAGTAGCAGCAGCAGTAGCAGTAGCGTAGCAATAGCAGTAGCAGTAGCAGCAGTAGTAGTTGTAGTAGTAATAGTAGCAGTAGTAGTAGTAGTAGTAGTAGTAGTAGTAGTAGTAGTAGTAGTAGTAGTAGTAGTAGTAGTTACTTAGTACTCTGTACTCAGTAGTTGGTAGCTAGTAGTTAGTAGAGAGCAATTAGTTTTTAGTAGTTAGTAGAAGTTTGTATTACGTAGTAGTAGTTGATAGTAGTCGTAGTAGTAGTCGTCGTCGTAGTCGTACTCGTAGCAGCACCGTAGCAGTAGCCGTAGCGGTGGGAGTAGTAGTAGCAGTACTAGGAGCAACCGCAGGAGCAGCAGTACATGCCTTGGGTCGTAGTAGTCGTCGTCGTCGCGGTAGTGGGTGGGTGTGGTAGTAGGGCCGGGGTAGTAGTAGGAGGAGGTGTTGTTGTTGTGGTTGTTGCTGTCCCTTTTGCTGCTACTGCTACTGCTGCTGCTGCTGCTGTTGCTGCTGCCGCCGCCGCTGCTGCTGCTGCTGCTGCTGCGGTGCTATTGCTGTTGCCGTTGGTGTTGTTTGAGTTGTTGAGAAGTGGCAGTACTGGTAGCAAATAGCAGAAGTTTTACGGTTCGAGCTACTGCTGTACTACCACCAACGAAAATGTCAAGAATCCGTGCTGGTTGGTTCGCACTTTGTATATGTGTAGGTTCGCAACTGTGCACTCTGAGCCTTCGAGACTAAGGTGGGCCTCCACACGACGTGATGTCATCCCTGGTGAACTTTGTGATGCCATGGGCACACTGCATGAAAACGTCCCGACTACGATGCACCTTGCAAGGAGATTGGAAAGCGCTTTGAGTGGAATGCCATATGTACACTACATATATCATCTCAAACACTGCGGCCTGTGATGCCCAAAGTGTGCAGTTCTGGTCTAGTCCAGAACGCAAGATGTAGAAAAGGTTAGCCTTCCCTTGCCATTCCTATGCACTTCTAGACCCTACATACTATTGTTACTACTATTACTATTATTACTAGCATTACTATTATTACTATTATTAGTATCATTACTATTCTTACATAGTGAACCTAGAAAATATCACACAACGTACAAGCACGTTTCCAGACGCCAATTCTTCAGAGGTCCCGGACGGACCTCGATAGCTCGCAGCGGGAGGTCGAGGGCCTGCAGATGGAGGACATCATTCACTTGCATATATATATATATATACATATATATATATATGTATTTATGTATATACTCCTCCTGCTAGAAGGCTTCAGGTTTCTGTCAGAAGCCATTGCTGCATGTTCCAAGGGGTGGTTTGTTGTTAGGGTCACTGAATACATCTTACTAATTTCGACACAGGACCGAAGCTGCGCCCAAGACACTAGCCTACAAGTAGGCAAATCAGAATTTGCAAGCTCGTTGGTTTGTTTTATCGCAGTTGATTGCGTAACTTTTAAGCGGCGGTCCATCCATTGTCTTGGCATTGCTATTTCTACATTGTATGTTAGGCCTCGCCGAAGAGGGATCTGTTCAGCAGCGTTCCGAGCTCATCGTGGTTTGCAGCCTGGGTGGGTGACTATATGTCGGTGAATGGACTGCTCACTCGTTTCGAGACTGCTTGGTAATCCACTTCATCGCCAGTGCTGTAAAATGCTTCATCGCAATTGATTCCGTTCGTCTACAAGTCCGGCTCATGACATTTGCCAGAAGCGTTTAGGAGTTAATGCGCCACAGAGTTCGTCGTTTCATCAGAGGCCAAGCTCTGCTCTGACCGGTCCGGCCGTCCTTATGCCGCAGGAGCTCTTGGGTGGTGGCTGCGTAGCGCAAGTGTACAAGGGCAGGCACCCTGCTAAACACATAGTTCAGGATTCTATATGTACATTCAGGGGTTCGTGGTTTGCCACCCCCGAGCCGAAACCCCCTACCGAAACACAAAAGAGTCTGCTTGAGCAGCAGATCTTGTAGGGGCTTCCGCATCTTCGGTTTTGGATTAGGGCAATAGACAATCAGTTCCGACATGACCCCAACGCTAGCAGCTCCAGAAAGTAGTCAGCCTGTGAGGAGAAGATGTACAACCATCTTGTATTGCGAATGAAAGACCCGGTGCCATTGAAAGATGGGGCAGGTGCTTCTGCGAACTGCTAGAAACCAAGCCTCGGAGTAATCCGCTCGGCAACTTTTTTTTGTGTTTTCTGATCTCCCCTAGTCATGGTGCCGAAGCTCCGTTCGACTTTCAAGAGCTTGGAAATGTGCTTAAACCCACCATGCAAGTCAAACAGCCGGTGCCAAACAAATTTGTTATGGAACTGTACAAGTGGCTAGATGCCCTGGTCCTCCTCAGTACTTGCCGCAGCGATAGAGGGTAACAACCACCTCTCAGTCTGGCTAGTGTCAAAAACCTTGAGCTCGTAGGCCTATGTTACAGTGAACAAGAACATATGTATAAGTTATCCTGGAGTTGTAGTCCACGCGACGCGGCAACCGACACGCTTGCCGCCATGAGCAGCATCGTACTTCCTTTCTGGGCAGTGCTTCGTTTTCGGCTGCGCAGTACTTACTCTACGTTCTGCCGTTATAGCAGCAAGGGTGCTTCAGACCGTACATGTAAGCTATGTGCGCGCATCTATTTGCATTTGGTATGATAACATCATTGCCATCATCTCACTGCCTGGCCGCGTTTTTGCCACTTGCATATGCCAGCACACCATTTCTGAAGCAGCTTGTTGTATGATAGTTTTACAGTCCGCATTTTCTGAGGATTTGACGACCGCTCGATTGAAAGGTTGGTGGCCTGTGTATTGTGTTACCATAGCGCTCTAGTTTCTTGTTTGAGTGTCGAAATCCTCTCGTCGTTTCTCGTTTGAGTGTCGAAATCCTTTCTTTCGCCATTTCATCAGCGACACCTGTCTACTTTGCTCTGGCAATGTACCACCCCACCGCTCATATAACAGCGCAACAAACGCTTCCCAAACAAGACAGCAGACGATTGAACCGCATGTTGTCGCCCCAGGTACAACGGTACTGATGTAGCTGTGAAGATTCGGCGAGCGGGGATCGAGGATGGGAGAGATTTGGAACATGTTGTGACGGGTTTGAAGTCGTTCGGGCTGCCTTGATGATGTTGGAGTTCAGGTGGGAAGAAGGGTTGTCACGACTCTTCTCGGCGGTTGAGGGGTTTCGACTGCTTGAGCCCTAGATAGTGGCCGTGGCGGTGAGCCCACATGATGCGTGGAATTTGAGTCCGCAGAGGATCAGCTCGACTTGGACCTTGACCTCCTCAGGTGGTTTGCCGGCTGGGTGACTTGCGGCTCGGCGGCACTGCAACAACAACCGCAGGTTAACGATATGCGCTTGTGGCAGGGCCTGCGTCCACAAGACAGCAATACTGTCAGCATGCGATCTGCAACATGCCGCCACTCCTCCCTCGTGATGTCGCCATTGCTGCTTGCATCACCGGAACCATATGTTTTCAACCACGGCAAGAACCACGGCAACTACTGAACTTGCAGCACTAGTTGGATAGGCAAGCATGTGGCATGAATGATAAGTGTACCACAAAGGAAAGAGCAGCAGCTGGCAGTAGTAGTTTAGTAGTGGTGGCGACAGCAACGAAGGTACCAAGAGTTTCTTAATGCAGGCAGTAGTGATCGTTGTCATCGTGAATGGTGGTAGCAATAGTATCGGCAAACTTGTAACTGTATGCACACCCGCGTCGGCACTCTATGTGTTTGTATGCATTTATATGTCTATACATGTGCATGTGTATGCCTATGCATGTATGTGTATATTTGATTACATGTCTATGTGTATTTACGTATGTATGGCACAGCCGTGATGGGACGGGCACCAGTCCGTGTACTTCTGACCATCATAGATTTGCTGATGCTTTGAGTCAAGAGCCCGAAGTGTCGGATAGATGCCGTACACTCCATTGCCAGGGTGGAAGCCAGAGTTGACCTGGATGGCACTGGAAGGAGCTGTAGACAATTTCGGCGAATACATGATGCAGCAGGCTCTGGATTTGCGATGGCCCCCACGATTTGATGTTTTGAAGGTGAGGGTTTTGACTATATGATTCAGTTGTTAGAGTCGAGGGATGTCGATTTCTAGGGTATCCAAGCCACACCACGGGCTATCCACGGGTTTCTCTCAGGCCCTGCGAGGAGGTTGCTGCTGGTTCCCCGCGCTTTGGAATTCGCCTAGGGTGTCAGCAGAGAGCTACGGACACTGAGACTCAGCAGGCCCGAAGCTCTATGCGGCGCGGAAGCAAAATCCAAATCCTGGGTCGAAACCCTAGGCCCTCTGGCGTGTTGGGATGAACTTGCCATTTGTCTTACGGGTTTCTTTCGAGGCCGGCTTCGTGCTTCCATCGCCTGCGACCTAAGAGACCTCATCTGGCTGCGCCGATTGGTAAGAGCGTAAACTGCAAAATCCTAAACCATGACACGCACAAATCGAGAAGTGTACCAAGTAAACCGTGCCTGAATCGAAACCGAAACGCAAATCAACAGCGCGTGCATTACATTGCCCGTTCAGTCAAGCATATATTTCGTAGTACTATCCATGGCTGGTGTGATCTACCTGCGACCAAAGCCTAATCTCAAAACCCTGAGGCTGCATGTCCTTCAAGATCCTATTGCGCCACAGGTCCATCTGAATCCCGATACCCATGGACCTTGGACCCATCAGACCACATGTGGGGAGGTGAACCTGAACATCGAGGCGTCCAACATGAAAAGGTTCGCGCAGAACTTTGCGAGTAACGGTCGGGCTCTCAGAAAGTTCTGGAAATTGTCTCTGAGACGACAAGGAACCACCACCGACCACCCCTGCAACGCCAACAACCACCACAAGTTATACTGTTGCTGCTGCTGTTGCGACTCAACTGGTAGTACTACGAGTATTACTGCAGCTTCTACCAGTATTGACATGTTGCCTGCAGCGCGGAATCGCAAGAGTCCGACAAGTGGGAGCCAAAAAGTATTACTAACTACTACTAGTATACCACTACTACTATATACTACTACTACTACTACTACTACTACTACTACTACTACTACTACTACTACTACTACTACTACTACTACTACTACTACTACTACTGGTTTGAGTGCGAAGCGGGCAGCTACTGCGGTCAGTGGCGTCAGCCGGGAGCCCCTGCAAACGCAGCCTGAGAGCTTTTGGAGCTGCTGGCGTCCTGAGGAAGCGCATGCACGGAGAGGGCCGGATGCAGCGAAAGGACGGTCCCATACTCTGCTACGAGGGCCAGTTCCTCTGCGCTGCAAAGCGGTTTCAAAGCTCCGAAGGAATGGCTCCGGAAGGTACACTTTCAGCGATGGCTCCACGTACGAGCGTGAGTTCGAGGCGGACCGAAAGAATGGCTTCGGAAAGTACACTTCAGCGATGGCTCCAATGATGAGGGCCACTGTTGTGAAAAAACACGTGTCGCGCTCTCCGTTGTTCTTAACCTCGCCGCACCCTGTGTCCACCCCTGACCCTACCCACACCCACACCTGATGATTGCCCCTGCATTGTCCGTCGGCTCTGGCACTTGCAGGTACGACGAGAGCAAAGTAACGGGGATACAAAGAACAAAAACCCATGCCCCAGGACTCTAAACGAGTAAGCACACCGCTCGCTTGCGAAAACCTGGCTGCACAGGTCCGGACCGAGCTACAAGACGAACTGATCCCCTCGAACGCCCTACACCTATCCCCGATCCTGGATCTGATTCCTAGGAAACTTTGGACCAAACCCCCCAAGCCACATGGATACCTAGTTCTGGGCCTCTCACCCCGCTCAAACCTTTGTACGGTTGTTACCCATGTTTGCCCTGAACTCACTAAGCTCCTCACGATTTTCATTACAATGAATCTTCCCCAACACAACTTCGCGACTATTGGGATCCGAGTCGGTGGTAAGTTCAGGGTGCACAAACACTTAAACACTCAGGGGATGAGCGCAGTCCTTTCAGGAAGTGGTTCAGTGCCTTGCTTCTTTTGGATGTTTCAGTTGGCGGCGGCGGGGGCCTGCTGATTCAGAATATGGGATGCTTCCTGGTATAACGCTTGACCTTTCGAAGGAACCCGCCGTATTTAACGCAAAGCAACCTCATTGTGGACTCCCGACCAACCCCAAAACACAACAAACCCCTCGCATAAGCATCGCTGCTTTTTCCCTGAAAAGTGGTAGCTATGTTGAGTTCGAATGCAGATCAGTGATGGAGACCTTAGGATTCCACCTACCCAATTTAGGGCAAACCACTCTCCACAGTTTCTTCCGACGGGCTGACCAAGGACCAGAGGACCAAGACAGCCTTGCGACTCCCTCAAGCACATCTGTAATTCACCTTCATCCCATTATCATCGATGACGACTCAAACAAAGATGCTGACTCTGACGATGATGACGTAATCATGGAATTACCCCCTCGATCGTCGTCTGATGGTGATGGGAGAGCCCTGAGACCCGATGGGACAACAAGGAACAACCATCTCAGGTGTGTAATACACCTGGAGTAGTGGGGCAATGCTCAAACCGGTACCTGCACTGTCCTTTGTTTCCACTGGCCTCCCTTGTTTCACCGCGACCATTCCTTCTGCGACTTCCTTGCCTGCCAGCCTTGCTCCCTTTCTTTTCCTATGTCATTCACTGCCCTCATTTCCTTTTGCTCCTCTTTTCAACCTAACGCTTTTCTCCAAAACCCCGTACTGCCCCGAACTGAGCCTCCCAGAAACTTGTTTCGCCTTGCTCCGCTATGGTTAGGAAGTCATTGCCTGCAGAGGATGTCAGCTGACCCTCCTGGCGTGCCCAATCGAAGATGATGTTAGATGGACTTCCTGGCATGCCCAACCTGTGGAACAGCACACCAGAGACTGGTGTCACACTGATGGCACGCTACAGAATGGCTGACTTGGTTCTGACCGTCAACTGGAAATCTGCCACCACCTCTGGACAAGCTGGACGCACCGGCCAAGACCTGGAGGCATATTTCCTTGGACAAACCGCAGATTGTATGTCACAGTACTGAACAGGAACATCCACGAGTCTGTGAACAAGGGGGAACGTTCCCTGGCCTCTGGGTCAAGCTGAAACCTGAAACCAGATGACGGTTGGGTCTTTCGGCCATGACCTGGAAGTCTGGCACCCATGGGGGGTAGCCAAGCTGCTCAGTTGACATATTGACATATAGACATCTGCGATCCACGGAGCGTGATTGTGACCCCTCGGTCAAGCTGGAACCTGATGACATGGGATGGGATCGGCTGCAATCGTGTTGATCGCTGCGCCACACATACGCATGTGGGCGAGTGATAGCCCTGGGACTGCTGCTCCCACCTACGCGCTACGGACGGAGCTCAATGGATGGAGGAGATTTTCCTGACTCCCACCTCTGACGCACACACACACACAGACCCCGCGACAGTGCTGCTCTTGGTATACCGCCAGACAGTCGCGCTCCTACTCTGTGCTGCCAGGGACATGAGGCTGGACTCCTACTATGACCATAGCTGCTGATGGGGGCTCAATCTGGAGAGAACATGGACTGGCATGGACTGGTAAACGTGACTGAACCGGTCTTCTCGAGAGCGCTGTAGAACCACGCACACGCGATTGCGACTTGACCGATGCCGTGTTTTATCCGGGGCAAACCCAGAACTGCACCAAGTGTTGAGCCGATAGTGAGAGCTGAGACGAGCACCTGAGTACATCTAATTCGTAATTCATGAACTATAAGTCCAACTTGTTTGAATTCGTGGTGTTCTGCAGTACACCGCTCGTGAGATCTGATGCATGCTCATGGCCCTCGAGCTGTGACCTCACACTTCGAAGCCATGATAAACAGAGAAGGCCTGACACTCTGGGTTTTGGGTTAGCTGTGGTGAGCCTGGACTAGGGTTTCTTTAACTGGTTGTTCGCTGTTGTGCCGCGCTGATCCTCCTCCCGATCATGTAACTGTACAGATGTAATCAATGAACTGATGCACTGATAACCGTCGTGAGCCTAAACACACTGCTGCCGTGGGAAGTCGTTGTGATTATGGCGTTGTTTAATGCAATTTTTGTTGTTTCCTGGTTTTGGTTTTGCTTATTGTTCGGAAGCTTTCGGCAGCTGAGGTGTGCGTAGTGAGTGGATCTGATCGATGGATGTCCCGGTGTATTTTGTGGCCTTACCTTCTGTTTCGTTGTCTTTCCGAAAACTGGGATATCCTCGCTAGTTATGACTAGATACCATTTAAGTCCCCGCAGAGCTGTCACTGGTGTGCCATGTGGGTGACAAAACTGCTACTACTACTACTACTCCTACTACTACTACTACTACTACTACTACTACTACTACTACTACTATTACTCCTACTACCGCTCCTACTCCTACTACTACTCCTACTACTACTCCTCCTACTACTACTACTACTACTACTACTACTACTACTACTCCTTCTGCTGCTGCTGCTGCCACGATTACCACTACTGCCACTACTCACTACTCACTACTCCCACTCCCACTCCCACTCCCAGCGCACCGCCGCCGCCGCCACCGCCACTGCTGCTGTTGCTTCTGCCACCACTGCTGCTGCTGCTGCCACTGCTAGTGGTGCTGCTTGTGCTACTGCTGCTAGTGCTACTGCTACCGCTACTACTGTACTCCTGCCTACTACCTACTACTCACACCTACAACCCACTACCTAATAGTACTATACTACTTATTCTTCTCTATCTACCGCTGCTCCTGCTGCTGTTGCTGGTCGACGACGTTCAACATTATCACCACGTCATTCCCTAATGTCCTATGGTGTTTCTGAGGCAATATTTTGGTGCCTCCCGTTTATGCTGCCACTGATTCTGTCCTCGTCATGGGCATTGCAGAAGGCACCGGGCAGGGTGGACGGTTGTGGGCCCACATAGCAGCTAGAGATCGCCCAGGTATCATTGTACGCTTCGAACCCGCGCTGGTGCCCTCCAAAGAAGACTGCAATTGAAAGCACATGGCTTTCTGCCCTTCAGCCCAGACTGAGCATGGCTGAGCGGTGGTCATCACAACTTTCAGTGGTGCAAGCGGAGAAAACCATTCAATAACTACCCCCCAGACACACAAGTTTGTATGCCCCAGAACACATTCTTTTGAACACACACCTTATCCAGTCCAGCCAACCCGGCCACCCAGCCACCCACCGACAAGCAAGCACGCACGCATGCATAGCATGTGTACTCATATTCAATATATGTCATGTTATATTTGTTCTTATAAGTCTTTCTTGGAAAACCGTGTAAGTAGATATGAATCCGCAGGCCAGTCCCTTTCCACCTTTGTGAAGACGGAGAAGCCCGGATGGCTCTGGCATTCTGGGTTCGGAGTTCTGGGGTTTAGCGCCGGTGCAACATTGCATGATTTACGTGTTTGAGGACCATGTTCCAGGCCAAGTGGTCCGATTTCCTCTGCCACGAAGACACTCTAGAGGATGCATGGGGGACGCTTTTAGAGCTTCGCAAACAGCGGCCGGAGTTGATGAGGGATCGTAAAGCTGGCTAAGGAAGGACCACGATAGGCGCGATTCCGTGCACAGCTTGCTGGTAGATCCTTGGCCTGCATGACTGTGAAGTCGTACACACCGCAAGACCCCTTGAACATAAATCCTAGCTTATGCCCAAGCCGCTTTTGTGCCCTGCACCCCAAAAGCTCCGAGCTGGCAGAATAGATCCGCCACCCGAGTCCGTACAACCTCTCAACACTTGAAGCTTCAAACCTGGATCCTGCCATATTGCGAAGCACGGGTTATTGAAAATTGCATCATGTCACGTCGTTTAATACTTGGGGCTCAACTTCAACCAGCCTGAATGTCGAAAGCTTTGAACACTCAGGACATGATGGCCCAGATGGGCGCCTCATCTGAAAGGATGAAGCCTCACTTTTTAGCATTGGGGTGTAGGTTTATAGTTGCGATAACTGATATGATTTCGCTAGGGAGCCCAGGTTTCTGAAACTTCCTATCAGGAGACAGAAACAATCTGAACCTGCACCATGGCCCACGAGGTTGCTTGCCGATGTGCAAGCTCGCCCGCTCTGACATACAAGTAGTCCGGCCAATATAGGGGGCCTAAATAGTGACCTATACTACTTCGGGGGCCCGTTATTATGATTCTGGCGCAATATCCCTCGAAAACCTATTCTGTTTTTTCAAGGCCCCTACATCATCCCCGCAAAGCCATCCAGCAATCGCAGGCATGAAAGACAACTTCATGCACGGCGACCTGCACCCAGGTGCCTCCAATTCAGAAATCATCGGGGCGAAGCTGAAGGTAGTTGTAAGCCCAAGCCCAGTCTAGGGTGTTTTGATGTAGTTGGGTTACCAGGAGACGAGTAACCAATTTTTCGCCTTCTGTGATTCGTGAGAGTTGTTCGGGTGGAAATGCCGTTCCTGTGGGGCTTCCCGTGATCCCTACTTGGAGGATCATGGGACTTAGTAACTATAGTTATAGGTTATAAGTCCCTTTATTGGGGTTATAAGTTTCTTTTAAGTATAGTTACCCCAATAATAACCCTGGTTACTAAGTCCCATGATCCTTTAAGTGGCTTTAATTAATGCGAGGAGGTGACGGTTGGTTGAGGTACTCGACAGTTTGGACTGCTGTAGGCAATGCAAGCTACTTACGACCGTGACACAAAGCCCGAATCGTAAACCCGAAAGCCGCATTTTTCCTTCGCTTCGAGCCCGTCCTGTCCCTGCTGCGCTTACAGTCATGGCACTTAACTTCACAGCATCAAGGGCCCGAAACACCGCTTCGCAGCTAAGGGCTTGAGGGCTTCTTGGGTCATGGGTCCAGATTGAGGGGTTCAGGTAAGCCAGAATCATTACCTGCATTATTCCTTGGGGTTTTTCATTCCTTTTCATTCCAAAGTGCTTAACGAGCCCCCAAATCCCTGTTCGAGTTACTCGGGCCCCAAAAAATGCAACCAGCAGGCAATCTCTTCATCAAGTTTGAGGACGACGGATCGCCGACGGCCGCCATGCAGCAGAACCGGGACTGGAAGCAGCATAGTGTACTACAGGGCTTTGTAGCTAGTCTGTAGTTGCCAACACGATCTTTAGATGGTTCCTATAAAAATCCTATGGCCCCCGAAGAGCCTGTTCAGGATAAACTTTCCCGGCCAGCTTGCATCACCTTCAGGCATTCCGGAGTCCGCGCTAATCACCCGCGTACAGCCATATTTCCGATCACGGAGATGGAAGTCAAGACTACATTGATATCCGGTTTAGTGGCCCTGGTTCTCGTGCTTTCGGTTCTGATCTGCAGGTGACGCTGATTGATGTCGGCATCTCCATCGCGATAGAAAATGCTTTAGGCAGGATGATCAAGGAGCTTGGCCAGATGCTTCTTGGGGTTTTGGGTTTAGGGCAGTCCAGTCCTGCATAATTAATTTCGTGGCTAGCTAAGTATGCGCCCCGAAGACATCAACTGCTCACTTAAATGCGAAAGTCTGCGATGTGCAGGCGCAGCTGTTGTGGAGCATAGGCAATTCAGAGGCTCTGGTTCATGCGGAAGCACGTGACACTTGCTTGACATGAATCTTCCGAAGGAAGAAGCAGGGGAGTGGAGCTGCAGCACTGTAGCGCAGGCACTCTCGGTATTCCGGATGGTTGATTATGTCCTGCAACAACTCTTTTGCGCACACCCTTGCCTGAGCCCTGATCGAGCATTCGCAACACATGGCTCCCAAGTGCTAAGCCTACCCGAGCGCTACGATGTTTCGTTTTTTTCTTGAGTGTCGAATGGAAGTATAGTATGGCGTATTTATTTCTTTACCGGGTTCAGGGCTGTGGTGCAGGATGCACTGCGTCCTGTCTTCATGAAGAATGTGGCCCGGCTTACTTCAGAAACCACGCTTTTCCTTTCCAGTGGCTTCCATGTCACCCTCAGACATGTCCTCGTCAGGAGCACTTCGTGGAGAGATGTTAAGAGATTTGTATAAGTACGTAAAACATTATACCCTTAAGCCCGCCAGATCCTAAGCCCGCCCAAGAATCCCCACAAGAAAAGTCAACAACGACGTGTTATCCCTCCCCCTTGGTGAAACGGCTGATGATGTAAATCCTGCATTACCCATGATCAGGAATATACCATAAATCCCATAGTCTAGGGCCATTAAGGTAATGCAGGATTTGTATCATCAACCGTAGTAGTACCCCTAGGTATATACCCTTAATATAGCTATTATACATCCATTATAGAGCCCATTTTTCAGGGTCATCAACCGAACCTCGGCATGCCCCAAGCTCAGGCCGAAGCACTCGGTTGGGCCATCGTCAAGTACCACGAGATGCCCTGGTCGGATTTATTCGAGGGGGGGGTGGGGGTAAAAAGCGATTCCAAGATTCACCAGAGGGAATGTTGCTTTAAGGGTTCAGGGTTCAGGGTTTTCGTAGAGATCCTTGTTTCGAGCAAACCCCACCTGGCACACATCTACCAGGATGACAATTTGCGCGTGAGTTCGATGATTCGTGTTCAGGGGAAAGAGTTCGTATGCAGTCAGGCAGTCAGGCAAGGTTAATATGCAAAAGCCTGCAAAACGAAAAGGCACACACGTGCACGCTTATGCATGCTCAGACCGTCCGGATCCACAGAAGATGAACACGACGCTTTTGCCCGCTTCAGAAACACGCCGAGTGTCTTTGTGATTCTGGTGGGGTGCATGCAATATGCTTCTGGTCTTCCAGTTTGTCTAGGCAGGAGCAGCTGCGAGGTTCATGTGCATATGGGTTCGGAAATTAGGGGTACCTTATTTTGGGGTCCTCATAATAAGGATCCTACTACTTAGGGTACTATATTATTAGGGTCCCCTATTTTCGGAAACTCCCATATTGCAGGGCCTCGCAATCTGTTGCACTGCTCGAGAAGTCTGAGCCTGTCTGGACACCCCCCCTGTCCCAAGCCCGGAACCTTCTCCTCATCAACGAAGGAAAGAGGGCTACGCAGAACAGGGGGTCGAGCTACATGCCCTGGCTACAGAATTGGGCAACTTGCTGATGCCTCTGGGATTTGATGCTCTCAGGCTAAGGGACCTTGACACCTTCGAGTCTTTGAGTTTTTGGGGAATCGAAGTCAGGTGCGGTTGCTTTCATTGTTGCTGTTTTGTTGATGGAGTGTAGGGGAAAGCCGAATGTCTTGGCATCAGTGCTACAGTGCGGGGTCCCAACCGAATCAAGGACCACGACACCCAGACACCTCGGCCATGATCTTACCTTTGGTTAGTTGGGAATGGAAGAATGGTAGTCAAAGTAGTTATAATTGTACCCCATTCCTCCATTCCCAACTAACCAAAAGTAAGTGATGTAGAAACGAACACTGACAGACCCTGCATCTGGCCCGGCAAAGCAAGCAGCACATGTGTCGACAACCCCACTAGAGTCACTAGAGCAACCTGATGACTCGAGCGGATATCTTAAGAACCTACACCAGAACACGACACTTGCCATCTTATATCCGGGATCGGAGCACCACCCTACAGTACAGTGCGAGCTTTGACTCTGGTCGCGAAAACTCAGGCATACCTCGTTACAGGGTTTGAGCTCAGGGGTTGTTCGGTTTAAGGGTATACCCTCACAGGCAGCAACCCCCTACGGCCCATTTGCAACCCAAGATGTGGCTGCTTCATGGTCGATGAGAAGATTTGGGGAAAAGTCTTTCCGACTTTCGAGGATGCTAAACTGCATGGAGGGTCAGGCGTTCGGGTTTCTGAGTGCTTGGGGGGTTTTGAGCTTGGGAGGGCTTGGGGGTGTGGGGTTAAGGTGTTGTGGGGATCAGGACCTGCGGATGGAGGTCTAGTAGCTGTCTTGTTCGGGTTGAGGCAGGTACCTGCATGGTTGCGTGTGACGGTACAGCCCGGTACAGCCTGAGCCTTTTCCCAGTACTTGGCGGTCATAAGTTTAGCTTGGTTTGCAATATCTTGCATTGGTCATGCCCCGCCCTGGATTAGAACAGACGTATTGTCCCCAGAGCCTTGGCTCCAACGCAGAGGCCTACGAAGGCACCCCTGTGAGCGAGTATTTCTCCATGATGCTGGATATTCTTACCAATCACAAGGCTCGCTGAAGACCCGGCTTGGGGTCAGTGCACAGGGATCTACGTGACACCGCCGAGCTGTAGTGACTAGTCAGTGCGTGCATATGTGTATATATATATATATAAATATGTACACGTGCATCTGTATGTACAGGTTACATATACACACACACACACACACACACGCTTGTATGTGTATACATGTATGAACGCATACATACATACAAGTATACATACATACAGGCGAACACACCTACATCCACACAAACCCGCCCGCCGGCCCGCACGCCTGCACGTGCGCGTGTGCGCACGCACGCATGTATGTACTGTATGTGCATATATCTGTTTGTACATATGTATACACATATACATATACATATGTATGTATATGTAAGTTCTTACCTATATATGTGTATATATAGATAGATAGATGTATGTTGTACATACTCACACTTGTATGCTTTCCACTGGCATTGTAGATGTTCGTAATCTGGAGGAGAGGTGCACCTGCTGTGCGTGGGAAGTGGGAGGTCTGAAAAAGCAAACTTGTTGTGGTAGCAGGTGTAGGTCTGAGAGCATACTATTGTGCGGGCCATAAACCCCCGTGGGGCTGTGAGGATGTTACGGCTCCCCACTTTGTAGACCACTTCGAATACTAGAGCCTAGACCTGAGACATGGCAGGTGCGGATATCACCCGACCTATGGTCCCTGATGACTGCCATTGCGCTGATCGAAGGCGTGCTCGGTGCCAAGCAATAACATGGTTTTAGTAATCATCTCGCGCGATTTCTGCGAATGTCATGTCCGACATTGGCAACGGAAGTTGCAAGGAAGGGCCGCCGAATAATTTTGCGGAAGCTGTATTCGCGGGTGGTCAGAGACCAGTTACGGGTGCAACTGGCGATGACGAGTCATGAGAGTTGAGAGTAACAGTTGGATACCATAGGCATCCATAGGCCATAGGCAGGACTGAGATGCGCGTCGATCTAGAATCTAGAAGGGAGGTGGAGTAGCAGCTGCTCAGCACAGGCTCGATTCTCGAGTTGGGCTTCGGAATCAATGTCCTGGCTGCTGTCAAGAAGCTGGTCAGGTTTAGTTGTGTCATGTTAATCCTTGTTTTTGTGTCATGTTAATTCTTGTGTTTGTGCTTGCATGTGCATGCACAGACCGTTCAGGTGGGCTCCTGAAGCAACAGAAGAAATAAGAGATGGCGCCCGCACGAAAGCATATCTGCATGTGCATTTGGTCCGCACACACACGAAACTAGTCATGTTGACGAACATGCCAACACAGGTGGACAGACAATTTACGGGGGGGGTGGTCGCCGGGGAGATCGTAGGTGCAGATGAGGCATCAGGACCTCTATTCTAGCGCCTCTTTGTTAGGCTTGCTTGTGAGAAGTTTCATGCTTACTCTACACTTGAGCGCTCTGCACTACCCCGAGAGCAGACGTGCGAGTGTACATGTATGTTGGCTTCTGCAAACGCAGCAAAGGCAGGCGTAAGGCAAGGCGATACAACGAGTGCCGCGCCGGGTCCAGAATGTCAGGCGAGCTCTGCAGGAGCCGCACACGGTCTGAGCAAGACAGAAAGGCACAAAGCACGGCACAGACGCTAGGCTGATACACCACGTCTCCTAGGTCAACAGCCCCCACGGCAGAGGAAGTCAAGTTTTCAAGCAGAGCCCAAAAAGCATGTTCGCGGCCCAAAACCTAAGGAAGTACGTTATCAACCCTGTGAATCTTTGGGCCGGGTCCTCGGAGAGCCCACTTTGCGCCATGCTTCGTCTGCGTTTTCTGGCTCCGGGTGGTCTCTGCATGAGGCATAGATGCGTTACTGTGTCTATAACCACCGGAATGGCCGCAAAGGGAGGCTTTCTTTATGACTTGTTAATGCCTGTTGAGAAGCACCTGCAAGCAAGAGGCATTACAGCTACTGATTCCAATGCCGTTGTGGCTGGTACGACTTGATCAGCGCGAGGGGCAATACCTGAGGCTGAGGGCGTCAGCCCTTGACTCGACTTGGTTTTCTTGTCACCGAACGTAGGAGTTTGGGGTGGAAACTGCAAGCTTCCTGACGGCTCGTCGAATAAATTATTGCAACGCCGGGGCCCGTCGTGGAGTCACTTGTCAGCCTTGCTGCATTGTCCAAGTCAGAGTGTCAATGATGTTTAAACGCCCGAAGCCCATTATTATGCCCGCAATCATAAACCCTGAAAGTGCCACGATCCGGAGTACTTCTGATCCACTGCAAACCTTTTCTCAGCTGTTTCCATCTAATATGCAAGTAGGTCACAATAATGAGCACTCGAAAGATGGACTTTTCAGGCTCAGGTAGTCTATATGTCTGTACCC